AGCTTGAGGCTCTGTCTCAAAAAAAAAAAAAAAAAAAGAAGAAAGAAAAGGCAGGAATACATTAGTATTGGAATAAAAAAGTCTCAATTAGACAGACTTATAATAGACTTTGAATTGCATGCTATTTTATATTACATACAAACATTATGACAACCCTGCATCAAAAAGGTGAACTTAGGGGTGGCACCTATGGCTCAGTGAGTAGGGCCCGGCCCTATATATGGAGGGTGGCAGGTTTGAACTGGCCCTGCCCAAATTGCAACAAAAAATAGCTGGGCATTGTGGCAGGCACCAGTAGTCCAAGTTACTTGGGAGGCTGAGGCAAGAGAATTTCCTAAGCCCAAGAGCTGGAGGTTGCTGTGAGCTGTGACACCACAACACTCTACCAAGGGTGACAGAGTCTCAAAAAAAAAAAAAATGCGGTGTATTTCTTGCACAGGGAATACTTCTTAAAAAAAAAAAAAGTTGAGCTTAGATGAAATGAATAAAGTCTTAGAAGAATATGACTCAAACCAAGACCAAGAACAACACTTACACACACAAAAGAAAGCCAGAATAATCTTATAATCTTTAAGATATTGAATAGTTTAAAGTTTCCCGTGAAAAAAAGTCCAGTGAGTTCTAACAATCAAGGAATAATTTGAAACTTAAGCTCTTCAAAAACTGGAAGAAAAGGTACTGTATTTAACTCATTTTATGAGGCAAGCATAATCTTGATACCAGAATTTTAAAAATCATGGGAAAATTGCAGGCCATCTTATTCATGAACATGGATGCACAAATCCTAACAAAATATTAACAGACCTGGCTCAGTGCCTGTAGCTCAGCGGCTAGGGCACCAGCCATATGCACTGGGGCTGGTGGGTTTGAATCCAGCCGAGGCCTGCCAAACAACGACGACAAAATAGCCAGGTGTTGTGGCAGGTGCCTGTAGTCCCAGCTACTTGGGAGGCTGAGGTGAGAGAATCGCTTAAACTCAAGAGTTCGAGGCTACTGTGAATTGTGATGCCAGGGCACTCTACCGTGGGTGATATAGTGAGACTCTGCCTCAAAGGAAAAAAAAAAAAAAAAAAGAGAGAGAGACTGAGACAAACTCTAACGTCTATATTTGCTGGTGTTTGAGCATACACAGCAGGGTCTTTACACTGGTTTTCTCAGAGGGGGCTGGGAGTAAAGTGGCTGGGGGGGCGGGCAGTAGTTAACATTGTCTTTGTTTCCCCAAGTTATGATATAAGACACATGTATTATTTTTGTAATTAAAATGTAATACCATTTAGGGACATGTTCAAGGATAGTGCAGGTGGTTATTGACATCATTACTATTACCTGCTGGCTACAAACTAGTGACTTTAGGGACCTAGGGGAAGGGCAGATGGCCCAATTTCCCAGCAAAGTGTGACCAGGGTAGGGGCCACTCCCCAGAACACACCTGCTGGGGTTGAATATAAGACTAGGTTTGTAGCTCTAACAGTCACTGAAAGAAGCTCTAGCTCGGGTCCCTGCCTGTCCTGTGAAGAAGATGCTGGAAAGGTGACCCTCTTCTTTCTCGAAACCACCCCTCCAGGCCTTGCCGGGGCCGGGTGGAGGGAAGCGGGGAGGGGGCCTCCATAGAAGGCCTGCCCAAGAAGAATGCTCAGGAGGGCTGCGAACGCCCAGGCGTCTCGGGTTCTAAACCACCAGAGGGAGCTCAAGAGCAAGGACAGCCAGCGCCTGGGAACCGCGTTCAGGCCAAGCCCTGGCTCCTTTTCCTCGCCCGCTCCATGCCAACTTGTCTCTGTCTGAAGTGGCAACTGTCTTAATGTTCGTCACCTCACTGGGGATGATAGTGGGCTTTTTAACCTCGTAAGAATAACTGCTGGACGGAGCACAGGCCAGAGTGGGCCCAAAGGAAATCACACAGTGGGGTTATAAAAAGTGGCCGTTTTTATGCGGGTTTTATTCTGAGGGAGGGTGGGAGGGGCAAGGGGAGTGAAGAGGAGAGTGTGCGTGGTGTGTCCCCCAAAGATGAAATCAGAGAAAATGAACTTTAAGCAGCAGAGATGACGGTCAGACATGGGGAAGAACTGTCAGGCCCTCACACTCAGGCAGGGAGTGTGTAGAGTTTGGGGTCTGTTAGGAGGAGAACGCTGTGTGTGTTGACTGATTGTTGGTGACGGAGGGTCTCATGGCCAGTTAGGGCAGAGGGTGCAGGAAGAGAATTCCAATGTGCTCTACAGGTCCTGTTTCTCAGCCACCTCTTGAGCAAATATGACTCTGTCGACTCTCACTGTTGCTTACTGGAAGGATTGCAGGAAGCGGGGTGATTCAGTGCAAACTATCCCGGTGCTGGAGATTGAGCTGAGTTCTCCGCTAGCAGGGGGCCAGGCACAGGGAGCTGCTGTGTACACATGGAGGACTGGGAAGGTCTTAGCAAGCCTTCCAGGACTTGTGCAAGGGGGTGCTGACCTCTAAAGTCTCTCTCCTGCTGACAACGAATGTCCAGAGCAGTGTGGGAACTCCTCTTTGGAAATCATCTTCAGAGTTGATTCATATTCTTTCAAAAGCAGCCACAGACATTTGGAATCGAGTCTGGTGGATGAGTGCTTACTCCAACTCTCCAATAAGGACCAATTTGAATCAAAGAATATAGGAGTTGGAAGATCCCCTGCAGCAGAAGTTCTCCAAGTGTAGGCCCTAGACCAGCAGCATCAGCATCACCTGTGGACTTGTTAGAAGTGCAAATTCTTGGTGCCCAGTAATCTGAGTGTTAACAAGCCCTTCAGAGGATTCTGATACATGTTCAAGTTCTACAAATCAGAGATTTAGCCTTTTCTAGGTCATAAACTCTGGAAAATCAGATGAAACTGTAGAAACTTCCTCCAGAAAAATGCACAGGAATGAACGTCCATATACATCTTCAAAGATTTGCACAATTTCAAGGTCCTTATTCCCTGGGCTAAAGAACCTATGATCTATACAAAATTCTTCCTCAAAATGTTTTTCCATTTAAGAAGGATGGCAGCAGGGAGTAAACGCCTGTGTGATTCATTGTAGGCGGAAGGTGGCGTTGTAGAAACAGAATTGGGGCATTTTGCCAGAGCAACTCTGAAGGGGGAAGGTGTGAGGATTTGGAGAGGAAAAGAGGTGCTTCTCTTCTTGAATTTATAAGATTATAAACCACCAATTGCTTTTCTTCCTCCGCAAGCCCAGGGTTCTCCGGATGCCTTTACCACCAACTATGTTGCTCTGCCAGAGTTACAGCTGCATCCAGTAATCACAGAACCATAGGTCCTGGGATCAGGTTCTAGTTTCCTAGTTCAGCTCCATTTTACAGTTGAGAAAATACCTGCATAGGTACTGACTCTTCATGCCACACTGGGGCCCACATAGAATGACAGGGAGTGTGGTGGGGCAGGAGATGGCAGGAGATGGCAATAAGCCTTGTTTAATCAGGCTTATTAGCACTATTGCAGTCCAGGAAGAGCCACTGCTGACTGCTCTCAGGGGAGAATAACATAATATAGTCGTCTGACATGACTCTCACAACAACCCCATTCTCATTCAATAGATGAGGAAACTGGGATGTACAATGCTATTACAGTGCTTCTCAAACTTCAGGGAGCATTAGGTCCCCTAGACAGGTTGTGAGAACAGACTTCTGGGCTCTACCCCTGGAGTTGCCGATTCTATCAGTCTGAGGTTGAGTTCAAGAATTTATATTTCTAACAAGTTCCCAGCTTGGCTAGGCTGTTGATTTAGGATTGACAGCTAGCAGAAAAAATGGGATGGAGCTTAAAACTCAAGATGTCTGCCTCATCAGACTCTCCAGCCCTAGGGTACCACACTTAATTACTCAGCCACACTTCCTCTGGGGGCATCCCTGATATCGGTGAACAATACTGGCCACATGAACATAACTCTCTTTCCTAGCAGTGAGTGGGTCAGATGTCTTTAATATGGTTGGCTCAGTTTTGACAGGTCCATATGTATTCATGCTAACATTCATTCATTCATCTCATTAATTTACTTACCCTTCCTTTGAACAAACCTATACCAAGCACCTGCTATAGTCTGGGTATTCAGTAGAAGTGCTACGTCGGGTTCCTGGAGCTAAGAATTAATAGAATATAGTCTACAGCCAATAGGGAGGCACAGGGTATATGTAGGGGAGGGAGCAAGGAGGAGATAAGGCCAGAGACAGACCAAATGCCTGGGTGGATGCTGCAAATTAGACCACAAAAAGTAGAGAAGATAGGCTCCATGCTCAGGGAGTCTCTCAGTTAGCCTGGGGAGGAGTTGGAGGGAGGGACTCAGGAAGGGTAGACCAGGAGACAGAGGGAAAAGTACATGCACAGAATTCCAGCTAGTTGGGAAAAATAAGTTCTAGTTATTCCTATCCCACTGTAGGATGATTATAGTTAATAGTAATACATGGTTTCAAATATTACTAGCTAGGAGGAGGATATTGAGTGCTCTCAACACAAAGAAATGGTAAATGTTTGAGAAGATGGATATGCCAATTACCCTGATATGATCACTATATATATATATCAAAACATCACTATGTTCCCTATAAATATGTACAATTATTATATGTTAACTTAAAGGATTATTATCACAGACACAAGTCCACAACCTTTGTCATTCCTTTCCATATAGTCTACACTTGAGAGGGCCTCCAACTAATGGTGAGAGGGTTTGTCTAGCCCATCTGAGTCCAGAGACATTTTGGATGGGCAAATCACATTTTTATATTCATGAACTTTTTTTTTTTTTGAGACAAGTCTCACTTTGTCACCCTGGGAGAGTGCCATGGCATCATAGCTCACAGCAACCTCAAACTATTAGGCTCAAGTGATCCTCTTGCCTCAGCCTCCTGAGTAGGTGGAAGTACAGATGCCAGCCACAACAGCCAGCTAGTTCTCTATTTTTGGTGGAGATGAAGTCTTCCTCTTGCTCTGGCTGGTCTTGAACTCCTGAGCTCAAGCAGTCCACCTGCCTTGGCCTCTCAGAGTGCTAGGATTACAAGCATGAGCCACCTTGCCCAGTCCTATGAACCTTTACCAAAATTTAGTATTCCCTCCAATTCTGAGGGTAGGTAACAAGCCACAGTACAATTTGCAGTATCATACTACCTGTGATTCCATCACTGACAGAAATCAAAGATGTCCTCATATCACATTTCAGTTGTAGCAGACATCTCCAAATATTATTTGTGTTCATAATTACTTTTAAATTAAATTATGTCAGTTTATTAACTGGCAGTGAGAGCTTGTTATTTAGTTTGTTAATAAACATATATTACCCAGAGACAAATGGCAGCTGCATGCAGGGACTGTGTGGGTTTCCAACTGAGGAGAGTGAGTGGATAGTGTGCAGGAACCCACAGGGAAAGGGCCTGTGAGGAGAAGGCACTGAGAGCCCTAAGTGAAGGTGAAGCAGGGGGCACTGCAGGGTGGAGAAGATGGGGGTTACCAGGCTGGGAGCCCTGGGGCCATGGCCATAATACAGTAGCCGTGGGGGTGGCAGAGAGACATAGAACATGGACACAGGCAGACGAGGGGTCAAGGATGGTGGAACCAGACTTTCAGTTTGCACAACCAGGAGTTGGGGTGGGAGGTGGCAGGGAGGACAGTGAAAGGAGGACCAGAGTGATCTTGTACTTTGGCAGGAGACTTTATCACTCATTCCCAACCCCAGGACTCAAAATACTGCCATTGTTGGCCATGTTCCTATAGATCCTTAAGGGATGTGAAATAGCTCACTGGTGATTTACCTTCTATGCTCCCCCTTCCCTTCCTACCCAGGTTGCTCATTCTGAGACATTCCAAGACTTGGGAAACCATCAAGACCCCTAAAAATGTTAGCTGGCATGAACCTGCTGCCTCTTCCTCTTCCCCTTTAGAAGGAGACTCCGTAAAAGATGCAGATGGGGAGAGTCCAGCCCTTAAGGCAGCTAGGTGCCATTCTGCTGATGGACAGATGGAGGCAGGACAACTCACTAGTGGTAGAGGCAGGCTTCCCAAGGCTGGAGCTGGGTCTTTGTGGAGTTTTTATGGTTTGGGGGCCCCCACTGAAAAGTCAGGAAGGAGAAACCTTGGGTAGCTGAGGAGACAGCTGGGGAAAGAGGATGTGGGTGTGGGTGCAGCTGTTAGCCGGTCCCTGGGGCCATCTTGGGAAAGGGCAATTTAGAAAGAATCCTATGGGGGGTATAGAAGAGTGGGGGAAAGTGGGAGGATGACCAGAGCCTTGGGATTTGGCTTTAGTGCCAGGGAAGCAGCAGGAGAGTCTCACCTTGACCTGGTCCAGCACCACCAGGGGCCCATTGACGCTGCATACGGTCCTGTAAGCTGGGGGAGGGGCAGGGAGTGAGTGAGGGTCTCCCCCAGAACTCCTCCACAGAGGTATCCCCCCTCCCCTCCCTCTGCAACCCCCCCACCTCCTCCTCTGCCCAACCTCAGCCATCAAGGCCATTAGCTGTGACAGGGCCAGCCACCATTGCTGTGAGGGTCATGCCCCTGCCTGCGGGCCCCCTGCTGCTCGGACACCTGCAGGAGGCTGGGGGAGGGCCAGGCAGAGAGAAGAGGCCTTTCTCATCCTTGATGGGGCTTCCCCTCTGGCCTCAACCCCCACCTCACCCACTCCCTCCTCTCTGACTCACAGCATTTTCCAAAAGCTTCTGGCCCCCAGCTGTGGCAGAGAAGTGCCCTCTTCTGCCCCTTACCAGGACCACGTTTCCCTCCACTCACCCCACACTGATTGAGCAGGGCTTTGCCGGCCGTTAGTAAGAAAAGCAAACAGGGACTCTGCTCTCACCACAAAGCCCTGGTGAGACCCTGCCAGCGGGGATGCTGAACCCCTCTGGCTCACTGGGTGCTCAGTGAGGGAGGGGAGGGAGCAGAGGGGTGAGGAGGAAGAAGCTAGGTCCAAAGACCTAGCAGCTGAAGACCCACAAACAGGAAATTGAGCTTAGCTCACGGTAGGGGGGCACGCGGAGATTAGGTTAAACACCAGGAATTATTTCCTAACCCCAGTGCCAGGGGCTCTGATGGAAGAAGCCATAGGCTCCTCCTGGTTCTGCTAGGGGCCTGCTGAGGGACCCTGGGGCAGTCCCTTGCCCACAGTCCTGGGATGCCATAGCTCTTCTCTGGGATTCTTTGAGACACCTGAGATGAAAGCACTGGGCAAGGCAGGATGGATGGATGTCTGTGAGGTTACTGGTTACTTCCAGGCTAGCAGGACCTCAGAGGGTAGTCTAACCCCTCTTTTCACAGCTGAGGAAAAAAGGGTCCAGAGCATGAAGCCTTGCCCAGGGCCACACAGTACACTCTGGGTAGAGTTTCTCCTCAGACTACACAGCTAGGCTCTCTTAGCTTCAAACTTGCAGGCAAGCACCATCCACACCATGCCAAGCCAAAGGGAAATCAAAGCCTCTCCCTCCCCAGTCTGGGTGTCTGAGGTCAAACCCCTTATTTTTATCTAATCTAAGCTCCTTTCATCAGGACTCAGGCCTGAAAGGTGATTCTTACACAGATCTTTATAAGGATCCTCCAAGGACCTTTAGAAGATCCAGGAGCTCAAGCAGGTAAGTCCCAGAGCAGGACTCTCTGAACTCTCTGCCCTCCTCTCCCTCCCTACACCCATGAAGGAGGTGTCCTACCTTCCATCATAGATGGGTCCTTCCCCTGCATGAGAAAGCAGGCCCTGGAGATGACTTCTCAATGGGGTGAAGGGCCAGAGCCTCTCTCCTCTCTCTCTCTCCCCTCCTTTCTCTCTCTGTAGTCTTCCCATCAAGAATCCATAGTGTCTCAGTCTTAAAAAAACATTCTCTCAGGCCCAGCCTTCTCCAGCTCCTGGAGCACAGACCCCCTCACAAGCATGGTCTCCACTTGCTCACTTCCCTTCCCCACCTCCCCCCTCTCCTCCACTCACTCTGCTATGGCTCCCGTGGCCTACCTTCTCTCCAGACCACTGTTGGCCTCCAGATTGCTAAATCCAGAGCCTGGGCACCCTGTCCTCTGACACCTGGGCACCTCCCCATCCTGTTTAGCTTCCCCTCTGGGGATGTGCGAGGCTTCCTTTGAAGACTTCTCTCTGGATTAGGCCTTGAGATGCTGGAGGTCCTAAGGCTTGGCCTGGCTCTGTGTTTCTCAGTCTCTTTCCCTATATCATCTGCTTCCTCCTTCCCTCCTCCTGTCCTTTCTTCCATCTACTTAACACTTTCTGTGTACAGGGCTAGGCAAATGAAGATGACAAACAAAACATGGAGCCAACAATCTAAAAGAAGGGATAAAGGGCACTAGTACAGTTACACACTGCAGTGGGTCCTAAGAAGGGAAAGATCAGGATGGGCGAGTGAGCATGGGCACGAGAACCAGACCAGGTGCTCTTGGACGACAGAGAGAAGGGCGGTGGGTACCTGTAGTCCCTGCTACTCAGGAGGCTGAGGCAAGAGAATCACTTGAGCCCAGGAGTCTGAGCTTGCTATGAGCTGTGATGCCATAGCACTCTACCAAGGGAGGCAAAGTGAGACTCTGTATTAAAAAAAAAACAAAAAACAAACAAAAAAAAACTCCAAACAGTGCCCCCCACACACACACACCTGTTCACATGGTGCCTCCATGGAACTGTCTGAATTGTGTGGAGCAAAGTGGAGCAGGTGAGCCCAGCAGAAGGAAGGAGAAGCAGAGAGAAAGAAATGGATTGTGTAAACAGGGAGATGAGAGGTGGGTGGGGAGAGACCTCATTTTGATAAGCCTAGGGAAGAGCTGGCATCTTGTGGTCCCCATAGAGAAAATAACACACCTCCCAAAAGGGCAGAGATGGGGGGAGAAAGCAGTGAACTGGGATAAAAAGATGCATGGTGGGTGGGCCTGGTAGGGAGGTGTGGGTGTGGGAAGCAAGGGGCCCCCCCCAAGGGCCAGAAAGCCCCTGGGAATCATTTCTAATTTGGAGACAATTCCAATCCCAGAGACAAGTCTTTCAACTTCCTCCCTCCTTCACAGCCGGCTTCCCTCACCTTAATAGCCCTTGCTTGTGAAATTCCCATTAACCCTGACATCCAGCAACTCTGTGGAGTGGGGGTGAGGGGTAGAGGATGGATGGAGGATTAGAGGATCCCCCACCACCACAAGGCTGGTCTAGAAGGAGCCCAGGGGCTGCTGCAAAATGCTGGCAGCTGCAGGCCCCAGTGGGAGGGAGCTGCCTCCCCCAGACCACCAGGTGGCCAGCAAGAGGTCTCTAACCCCCTATCTGAGCACACCAGCCTCATCTGTAAACTGCCTTCCCAGACTTCCTGGCTCTCAGTGGGCTTCATACAGAGTTGCTGAATGAATACATGGCTTCACACCCTGGAGCCTGCATCGCCAGTAATCCACTTACAGGCTGCTCTGTTCAGTACTGGACTATTCATAACTTTCAAGGCTCTGCCCTAGACTGGCTGCTGCCACCCTCAGGTCCTCTCCCCTCCGAAGGCCCACAGCATTACAGACTGGAACCCTAAACACATTGTCTCTCCCCTCAGACTAGGGCTCTGCCTCCCCTGTCAGACCAGACCAGATCTTTTTCTAGAGGCTTTTGGGTTTGGGCACAGCCAACATGGTGGCTAAGCCACAAAGGTGTCCTTGACTGGAAGGTAGGTCTTTTGTTTATATACCCCCAACTCTGCGTGTGTCTGTTGCATGGCCCAGAAAGTGGGCCAATTTTGCCTATGGCACATCAGAAATCAGGACAGTATCCTGTGGCACTCAGGGATTGTGGCCACTACCCAACCCTGGGAGGCACCCCTTGACCCTAGAGAGGGAAGGCAGAGGGCTGGATCAGGCGACCTTAGGGGCCCTCCTCAAAGAGGCCTTCCAGAGACTTTGCAGACATTCCCTCCAGCTGCTTTATCCACCCCCTCCATTGTCCTAGCTGACACTTTGGGTTGCACTTTGGACTGCTGGCTGGTGGAGCGCCTCCCTGCCCCCACCTCTCTACCGCCTTCCCTGTCAAAGGCTCAGCGGGGCTTCCGCGCGGCCCACTAATTAGCGCGGCCCAGCCACACCTGCAGCGTCCTGGGAGCGGGCTGAGACAGGCGCCCATGCGTGAGGCCAGGGTGGGGGCAAGCCAAGGGCAGCAGGTCCTGCACCTCCTCCCTGATCCCACCTTAGGGATTAGGGAAGGGAGGGCAGGGGTTGGAAGCTGAGGGCTCTTAGAATCAGCCAAGACCCAGCTGGTCGGACTCTCCCAGTATAACTCCTTCGCCTTTGAGTTGAGGAAACTGAGGAAACAGCAAAACCAGTGATGTGGTGCCCAAGCCCCTGGCCGATGTGCCCTGGCTCTGTCTCTCCAACCAGGATGCCAACCTGTCCTTCCTAACCTGTCTTATGCTGGACATCCCTCCACCCCTGCCTAGCCCTACAAGAACAGATCTCTAGGCCACCTCTTCCCCAGGAACCTTGGGAAGTACTCTGGCTCCCTGGGAGGCAAAGGGGCTCTTTTTTCCCCAGGGTGGATATTCCTGGGGTTTCACTCCCCATCCTCATTCTACCCACTGCCTCCTCCTTTCTTTTCTTTCTTTCTTTTCTTTTCTTTTCTTTTTTTTTTTTTTATTTTTGGAGAAAGAGTCTCACTCTGACCCTTGGTTAGAGTTCAGGGGCAACAAAGAGTGCTGTGGCATCATCACAACTCACTGCAGCCTCAAAATCCTGCTGCACTCAAGCGATCCTCCTGCCTTTGCCTCCCCAAGTAGCTGGGACTACAGGTCACTCAACTATGCCCAGATGATTTTTTCTATTTTTTAGTAGAGACAGGTCTCATTCTTGCTTTGGCCGATCTATTGACCTCAAGCAATCCTTTTGCCTCTCAGAGTGCTGGGATTACAGGCTGGAGCCATATGTCCTGGCCCTGCCTTCTACTTTCTGGCCAGTCCTCTCTCAGCAGATGAAATCACACCTTTAAAGGCCCAGACCTGTTAGTCCCCCTTTTCCAGGAAAGGAAGACTTATTCAAGCTCCCTGGGCTCACCTCCTCCCAAAGCCAAACTAGCCCTGGTGCCTCCTGGCCATCTAGCACCCCCAGCTCTCCTCTTCTGTCTCTGCAAAGCTCTCCTGCCTAAGAGTGCTTAGAGTCTCAGGGGAGGGCCAGGCTTCGGAGGAGGACAGAGAAGGACACAGCAGTCCTGCCTCCAGCCTACTAAGTGTGCAGTCCAGACATTGCTGGTTCTGTGCCTGTCTCTGCTCCCAGGGAGAGGCCCCAGCACCTGAGGGGGAAGGGGGGCAATAGGAGAGACACAGAAGGTGAAGTGGGCTCCTGTGGGTGGCAGAGTGTTGGTGCTGGGCTGGGCTAGGCCCTGGGTACATCCCTGAGGAGGTCTGGTATGTGGCTAAAACAAAGGCATTGGTGGGAGTGAGGCCTAAGGGGCTCCCTGCACTAGATGACCTTTGCTCTGGGTCAGCCATCAGACCCATGCTCACAGAAGGCAAATGTGGTGGACACTGCCTGCCTCCCCCCACTAGTATTTTCCATTGTGCTAAGGACATGTTGATTGTAAATAAGGAGCTGGTTGGAAGGGAACTGGCTAGAGGCAGCTCCAGGACTGGGTTGTCCTGGCCAGAGAAAGGGAAGGAGGAGGAGGCAGAGCAGCAGTGTTGGGGTAAGATTGTACCTACATGGTCCCTGGGAGGGCAGATTCCAGGGTGAAGGAAAGCAGAAGGTCCAGATCCTACACCCTAGTCAGCTCCTGGCACCTCTCTTGAGCCCACAGTTGGGGGTCAGTGGGGAGCCTGGTCTCAGGACCCAATGGGGAGGCCTATCCACTGAATATTTCTGGGTCACAGTGAGTGACCCCAGGAGAGTCTGGACCTCCCACCATGGGGCAGGGCCTGCAGGGCCTGCTTGAGAAATCTGACCCCACCCCATTCTCACCATTCTCCCTGATGGAATGTACTCCACCTCAGCACCTGCCTCAGGCCTCAGGAGGTGCCCCAGGCCTCAGGGTCCAGCGCCTGTGCCTGATCCCTGGATCTCAGCCCTCAGCTGCCAGCTTGCTCCGTTTATTCCATCTCCTCTGCTGGCCTGGACAGCCACGGGAGGACAGAGGGAGGCAGAGTGGCTGTGTCAGGCTCACCTCCTCTCAGCCCACACATATGCTGGCTCTGCTTAGCTGCCAGTGGCCAGACTGGTTTACTCCAGTGAGCTGGCCTGTCTGAGAATTCACTGACCCAGTGAGAGTGACCTTGGACAAGGAGATGAGGGGTCTCTTTACTCCTCTGGGCTTTGCCTCCGTCTGGATTTGGCCAAACTCTACAGGACAGGCATAGGAGCCACACACAGGGCCGCCCCACTCTAAAACAGATCAGAGTACACCTATGCCTGGACACTGCCCTCACCCCACCTGAACACTGCCCTCACCCCAATTGTACATACACACACTATCACACTTAGACCTGTGACATTGCCAAGACATTCACATGTGCTCTCCAGAGAGCACACATGCACACACACAGACACACACAGCCAGTGACATCACACACAGAGGCACCTGTTTCTTCATGTTGAGCCACACTCACCTACTCTACACTGCCAAGCATGTCACTCCAAGTACACCTGCCCATGCACTTCCTCATGCTAAGTGTTCTGGTGCACATTCCTCAACACACACGTTTACACAGGAGCACGTTCACACACACACAGAGGCACCGAGGAGCTCTCTCTGGACTTGGGGTGTTAGAACTAGGTCGAGGTGATAACAGCCCTCTCCTATGGGGTAGCCTGGGTTGGGGATCTCCCTCCTTTATCCTACAGAGATGGCCCCTTGTCCTGGTGGCTCCACTATATCACTCCACTGGAGATAGGTCTTGGTCTCCCCAGGTCTCAGGTCCCCGTCTTTATCTAAGGCAAGAAGCAAGGGCTGGAGACCCAGCAGCCACCCCGGTTCCCCACCCTGACCTTACCCATGCAGGGTGTCATACTCACTGACACGGGGATGGGTGATATAGTTTCGGGTGACTGCCTGCATGTGCTCTCGGTCTGAGCCCAGGTTGCAGCCACTGCTGGGGAGTCTCCCAGGCCCACTGTCTACCTCCATGGCCATGGTGCAGGATGGTCTGGGAGACAACTGCCTGAGCCTGGTAGTGGCAGCTCTAAGACTTCTTCAGCCCAGCTGGAGCTGGAGAGAGCTGCCCAGCCTGCCTCTGCCACCACCTGCCCCTCCCCTCTCCTCCCACTTCCTTTTCTCCTCCTCTGGGTTGACTGTAAACAGCAAACCCAGAGCTTTAGCTGAGAAGTTTTTCCCCCACACCCAGGCTTTCCAGATCTGGGAGGGGCCCAGCCACCTGGGAGTGGCAGAGGGGAAGGCTAGCTTTCTTCAACTGCTGTGCTTGGCTGTTCCCCTGCCCCAGGCAATTCACTTCCTCCCTGTGGAATTTCAGATGCTCTCAGTCCTACCTCTGCCCCTCACCACAACTCTTTCTGGTGTCTGCCCCACACCCAGTTTCTGGCAGCCTACCTTCTCCTCACTGTCCTCTCAATCTGCCCTCACCTTTGCCCTGACTATATCTGGGTACTTCTTTCCCCATGTAATTCCATCATCATCTTTTTTAACATCTATAAAGAACCATTTCCTGGCCAAATTCAGTGCCACCTCCTACAGGAAGCCTTTCCTGGATTCTCTAGCACCCAGGAATCCCCACACATCTGGTTCCTTTCCTATGTCATGCCCTTCAGGGGAGGCCTCTCTTGCCCCTGCCACAAGGCTGTGAGCCCCCAAAACGCTGAGCCTATGTCTCCTCCATCAGACCTGGGTCTCCTTAAACCTTTCTATTGAAAGCTTCTTGAGAACCAGGATTGGTCTCCTAACAAGGTCACATAGGGCAGACCTGCCCTGACCTTTTCAACCCATGGGAGAAGGTACAAGTGAAGCTCCAGGTATTACATGTATAAATCCAGCTGGGTCCATCACCTCTTCTTCCTGGAACCCCCTTCATGTCAGGTGGCTAAAGGAGTTGTGCTTTCTCCTGGCCAGTGGAGTCTGGCACAGGGCTGCTGGACAAGGCAGGGTGGACACTGGGTGGCAGCTAGAGCTGCCCAACCCAAGGTCTTCCCTGGTCCCTGGCTGCTCCCATGTCTCATTCCAGACTCAGGATTTCCCCCATTTCTGAGCTCCTCCCTACACTATGCCACCCCAGCAGAGGGAAAGGCTGGAGTGTAGTTGTCTAGGGATCCCTGTCCCCCAGCACTCACTCTGGGTGACTTAGGGCAGCCAATTTTAAACCAAAGCAATAGCTACTGGTTTAAACCAAAACAATAGTTTCTCACAGCAGACTGGAGCAGATTTTGCTTGTCTTCTCTGCCCACATAGTCCGCCTAAATCTTTCAACCCGAGGACCCATTGCGTGTCTCTGGTCCCTCTCTCACAATTCCTATTCTTTCAAAGAACTCTCCTGTTGGGAGCAGGGGATAGATGTGACCATAAAGGGGCAGCACAAGGGAGATCTTAGTGGTGATGAATAGTTCTGCATCTTGACTGTGGTGGTGGTTCCATGAATCTACACAGATGATGAAATGACATGGAACAATTCACACACAGTACTGATGTCAATATCCTGGTTCTGATATTATACTAACTATAAGTTAGATGCAATTCTGGGGGAAATAGAGTTATGGATACATGGAAGGCCAGGTGTGGTGGCCCACACCTGTAATTGTAGTACTTTGGGAGGCCAAGGCAGGCAGATCACTTGAAGCCAGGTGTTGAAGACCAGCCTGAGCAACAGAGAAAGCAACTAGGAAGCAAGCAAGCAAGCAAGCAAGCAAGCATCAAGCAAGCTGGTGTCTTGGCACAATCCTGTTGACTCAGGCTGAAGCAAGAAGATCACCTGAGCCCAGGAGTTTGGGGTTGCTTTGACCTGTGATGATGCCACTGCACTCTAGCTCGGGCAGCATGAGGGAGATGCTATCTTTAAAAAAAAAAAAAAAGCTGCACAGGGGTTTTTTTGTCCTATCTCTGTAACTTCCTAGAAATCTACAATTATTGCAAAATAAAAAGTTAAATAAAAATGTCTTGAGCAAAACAACAACAATTTTTTTTTAAAGGGCTTCATGTTGCGGTGTTTGTGACGAGTAGGCCCTCTCTAAACATGTGTGGTCTTGCCTGGGTTTACCATTGATGCCCTCTCTTCCTCTTTCTGGTTCCTGGTCTCACCTTCATTTTTCATCCTCTTCAAGGTGGCAACGTTTCCCCCCTCAAGTATTTTTATGTTTGAAAGAGGAGCTTACAAAAGGCAACACTTAACTAAAGAAGCCATGTTGGTGCGGACGGATCCGGGCAGCCCTACTGATGGGGAAGCCAGGTGCCTGCTGCCCCGCACAGAGTTCGTGGCCCCTCCCATTTGAGGTCCCCTGACGCCTGGCCCATTTTCCCTCCCAGTGATGAGAGGAGAGGAAGGGGTGGAGGCCAGTGGAGGTGCTGCAGGGACGCTGTTTCCCTTCTTGTCATTGTTCCTTTTATTCGTGAGACACACATGCGCGCGCGCACACACCATACACGCTGCACTCACACGCACTACTGCAGGACCAAGGCCATCTGGTCGCGAGTCTCTGAGCTAGCAACAGTGGGGAGGGCATGTGGCTGCCACCCTCCTCTCCGGGGCCTGCTCAGCGCAGTCCGCTGGGGCACAGGAGACTGGGAAGGTGCTGTGCTTGGGACTCAGTGTCGCGCAGGATGGGAGTCTTAAGTGTTAGCCTTCTTGGCGCTGCCGGCGCTGCCTACTTTCCGCTCTAGCCAGCCGTAGGGCTCGAAGGCCGAGGAGCCCAGTTCATAACCAGCAGGCAGGTCCAGGAGCGGGGCTGAGGAAAAGCAGACGGCTGGCAGAGGGGGTGGCAGCGGAGGGGACGCCGAGACCGAGGGCAGCGGGTGAAGGCGTGGGGAGGAGTTCCTGGGGTCACCCAAGGAGGTGCCCCTGTGGCCAGCAGGTAGACTTGGCAGGCCAGGGGTCAGCGCCAGGAGGCTGGGTGCCCTGGGCACGGAGAGCAGCCGGCCCTGCTCCAGCAGCCGCAGAATGTTAGAGGTGGCGAAGGCCTCGGAAGCCGAGGAGGACGCCCGCTTCTCCAGGTCTCTGCTCTGGTCTTTCTTCTGCTTGGTGCGGCGATTCTGGAACCAGACCTTCACCTTGGGGCAGAGGGTGGGAAGAGGGTTTGAGAAGGGAGAGGGGACAGGCAAAGCAAAGTGGGGTCAGGGAAGAGGAGAAAGGAAAGGAATGGTGTGGGGCCGGGCAGGTAGTGGAGAGGGTGGGAATGGGGTACAGGGTGGAGTGAGAGGGAAAGAAGAGTAGAGAGTTGTTAAGGTCTCCCCACAATCAGCCTGCTCTGGAAGAGCTGATTAGGGACCCTGGTCCCCCAAATTATGGATGCCCCTCTGCTGCTAACACTGACTCTGGCCTGGGATGGAGACATGGGTTAACGGACAGAGGGTGGAGTTTGGGACATACTTAAAATCCTATTTTGGCCCACACGTCCTCTGCTCTCAGCCAAGTTCATGGCCTCAGCCACACATGTGTGTGTGCTGGAGATTCCCAACTCTACCTCAGCTCAGGACTCTGGGCCGAGATCTGGGTCACATATCCCATGGACATCTCAAGAACACTCCAGACCACACATGCACAGACCAGCTCTACTCCCTTACACAGGGGCCTCTCCCTACGTTCCCTCTTCCATGGAACCTTCATTTACCTGCACGGAAAATTGGGGGAACCCCTCAAGAGCTCCCCACCCCATTCCTTAGCGCAGACCCTCCTCTCTCCCCTTGCCCTCTGACTGGGACCATAACAGCTATCTCTACAACAGTGTCTCTCAACCCTGGTGCCCACAGAAACCATCTGGGGGGCTTTAACCCCCTAACTCATTCCTACCCTCAGTCCAATCAATTCAAATTGGGGATGACTAGGACCCAACTCTAGTTATTAAAGCTCACCAGATGATTCCAAGGTGAGGAAATCAATGCTTTAAAGGTCTCACTACCTCAGGTCCAAACTCTTAACATCTTCAGGGCTGTGGTAAGCAGAAAAATGGAAGCCTCCAGCTCACAGCCCACCCTGGTTCTGACTGACACGCGTGTGGCCACCCTAGCCTGTTGATACTCTGCAAATGGCCCCCATGGCTGCTTCTTGAGTGTAGGGTTCCAGGTAATATCTGTGGTCTGCCCTTGTAAGGACTGACTTGGGAAAGGCAGGTGCTGAAAGTGGGCTCAGGGCCATTTGGCAGGGAATGCTGAAACCCTGGGCACCTGGGGAGCGATGGCTAGATGTAGAAGGTGGGCACAGGCTCCTGGCAAACACAACCCCTTGGCTTTGTTGAGTCCTTATCCCATAAAGAGGAGTATGAATAGAGGAGGGCCAAAGTGGGGCCCTCTGAAGCATGGGGCCTAGGGTAAGACCAGGTGCCCATTTAAAAAGACCTCTGCCCCCTGATGCCACCTTGCCCTCCAATCTTGGGAAGGGGGCAGGAGCCTGAGTTGGAGCACCCTCCCTTCCACAGGCTGCCCTGGGAGGTAGGAAGAGTGGGCAGGGTCCTTCCCGTGCAGATCCCTCCACTGGGGAATCAAGGCTTCTCTTAGTAAGGAAGCAGGGCTGGGCTGGGAGAGAAGATGAAATTTAAGCCAGGTGTGAGTTCAGTGTTTTAAAGGAGATTCTATTGAGCTTGGATAACCAAAAGTGGCCAGAAAGCTAGGAGATCTGCCTGAGGTTGATTGCTTCATTTATTCATTCACTCAGCAAATATGCATAGGGTGCCTCCTACATGCCAGGCGCTGCTCTAGGCTGGGGAAGTCAGCAGGGACAAAGCAAAGCAGACCCTTACCACGTGCAGGAGACAGAGGAACAACAAATAAAAGCCAACACACATGTCTGTTGGTTGGTAATAAGGGCTTTGAGCAGCGTTTCTCAAATGTTTGGGCCCACTTTTTAAAGTTTCCAATTTTGTCATGGACCAATATTTTTGTAAAATTGAATTAAAATGACTTACCAGAAAGATTGTTATATACATTTCTTAATACTTATTCTTCATTTCTGTACTTGTCATGGATAGAGAACAGTTTGCCAGCTGGCACTGGCCCACATACCACACCTTGGGGGGCACTGCTTTAGTGAAAGGTGACAGGATGGGAAGTGGGGCAGGAGGGGGTGA